GAAGAAAGAAAAATCAATATAGGTAAGCAAATATTGCAATTTTTTTTATAATACATAATATATCTATATTTTTGAATTTATAGTAGTGTTATGGATTTTACACACAACACAAAATAAAACGAACGCACCAATTAAAGATTAAAATAATTAATGTATTTTTATTAAAATTGGTAGTAAAAATCTTAAGTATAGCTACAAACTGCTAATCGAACACTGGTTACTTCGAATGACTGACTCCCTGTGTGTTGTCGTGATGGTGCTTCGTCTCACATGAAAAACCCTTATTTAGCGGTTCCCACGGTAGCAGCGTCGTACTACACACACTCTGCATTATTATTGTAATGAAATACTTGTTATCAAGATATATAGATATATAAAAATAAAATATGTACTAATCAGGGGTTCTTAACAGTAGGTAGGTAGGAAATAAATAAAAGTGCAGGTTTTTAACTTATAGAAAGTTTTCCATTAACAGCTAATCTCAGAAACTACTGGACTGATTGCAACCAAGGTTATATCAATAGATTTCTTGACGCTCTATAGTTGTTTTAATCTTTTAGTTTTTGGTCACGAAAATTGAATCATTTTTTGTTTAGATATATATTATATTATATAGGGACATAGGGTTGCCATCCATTTCGGGTTCAAAATATAAATTGTTTTTGAAGAAAAGAAAATTATATTTAATTAATTAATTAATTATGTCAACGCCCGGCAAGGGGGGGCACAGACCGAAGGACCACTCGGTGCTAGCCGAGAGAAAAATACCAAATTTGGGAACCGTCAAAGAACGCCTACAACTGTTCTGAGTAGGCAACCCAATCTACGCCTGACCAAAGTGACGTTAGGCAATCGATTTCACGACGACGAAATCTATGACGTTAACGGGACGTAGACACGTAGTACATGGGAATAAGGATGTACAGTTTAGTTATCGAGGGGGGGGGTGTCTCTGTGGTCGAATCGGTTTGGTGCAATGACCACAGAGCTCACACAAATGAGGGACTTAACACCATCTTAAAATTAAGGGGGACTGCTGCATAATGGTAGTCCCTCAGAATGGCTCAGATGATCGACCTGACGCACTGGAAAACCGTGGGCGGCCTCTCACACCACTCGTTTGAATGGCTCGAGGACTTACGCAAGACATCTGGCACCAAATCCGATGTCGGACAACCAGCCGAATGTTAATTATTAATTAAGAATAACTCACGAATATTGCTAGTAACGATGAATATTTATTTTTGAAGCACAAAGTTGCGTTGTCCGTTACAATAACGGACTGACGGATATCACACTGACGATATAAATAACAATAATAGTTGGATCACAATGATCCGGCGAATCTATGGTAACAATAATAATAATAATCCACGTGATCGTGGATGTGGAACGCCAAAAGGGTTATAATACAAAAAATTAACAGCAACAACACGAGCGATATAAGAGAGAGTGTCTGTGTAAAAAAATAATTAAAAATATGTGCCGCAATAATATTATATCACGAAAACCAAAACAATAACATAGATAATCGCTAGGCTAACAGACGAACAATAATTATCACACAGAAGACAAAGCAAAGAGCATATTACATTAAATAACAATTACAATCATATAAAGAATTTACAGGACAGAGTGGTGGATAGACGAGGAGTAAGAAGTCGCCGCCTCGACGATTTCTGTCACGCGATAAGCTATAATTGCTCGGCGCGACCAAATTGGTTGTTGATATTAAAAAAATGCTAAGTGCCAAGACGAAGTCATCAAAATGTGAGGTATTTCAATAGTATTTAATCGTTGGTTTATATTATCAGCTACTTTTTACGACATCATAAGTTGTGGTGTAATACACATAGGTAATAAGATTTGCCTAAAAAATAACTCCGGAAAAAATAACCCTACAATAAAAATGATTTGTAAGTATAAATATGATAAAGTATAAATTTGTAATACAATGTCAATAATACATAAATAAAAAATACTCACCATAAATGCTGGAAAACGTCGAACGCTTAAACTTAGAGTGTTTTGTTTATTTATTCGATGTATTGTTCCACTCACGTAGGTTTCGTCAAAATATTGAAATAACTCCTCGGCACCAATAGGAATAATTAATTTTAAGTATTTTTTTTTTTAATCCTAATTCTGCGAGTACTCTGACATAGGTGATAGAAACATCCATTTATTATTAAATGTTCAAATAATACATTTTTTGCTGCATTTATTACTGCCTTTTCGAAGTCTATTTTTATATATTGTGGATCTGGAAAAAGATTGCTCTTTTCGCAGACTGATAAAATATCTTTGAACATTATTTCGTAAATAGATTGATTTTTTTTTTCAAGTAAACAGTAAAGAACAGTAAAAAATGCACTATATTTTTCAATTCGTATGATGTAGAGTTGCGAGAAATGTTTCAGGGCTAATCCAAAATTTCCATCTGCATACCAGGTATTTGCATATGTTAATAACTTCAAGTTGTTTAACCTTATTAAAAATGATTACCCACTCATTATTTTCACTTGTGCTCTGAATTGTTTTTAACGTGGACAATGTGTACCTATATACAATAATTTATCATTGAATCCAAAATTAATATTGTACGTAGGTAATAGGTATGTTATACATTTTGTATTGATTTGAGATTAATTTGCAAAATCTCATATTATGGCCTATGGGGTTTTTTTTCAGTGGTTATTTTTTCGCGGGGTTATTTTTTCGGGATCTAAATTTCCGGGGTTATTTTTTCACGGTACCAGGTAATAAGTCATATGTTTAATTTAAGTTTGTAACATGTTAATTTTAATGTTCTGTTGAAATGTTGACTTAGTATGTTGAGAAAAATACACTAAACCGCTTCAGACTTCATTTCTACCTTTACCCATAACTTCTTCAGTCCAACTAAACATAAATGGTTTTGTCCATTCTCTGCTTTAATAATTGTTGTTTATTATGCCCTAAATATATATTTTGTACTTTAAATGCAATTTTATGTGAACTGAGATTTTTGGAATTTTCACTTTCACCAGTCACATTTGATACAAGTATCACTTTGTGAATTTCTGGAACCAAGATTAAATTGTGTACAAAATATATTTTTGAATGTTTCTTTCTTTACCTTGTAACATTCAGCTTTATTTTTTTCAATACATATTTCACTGTATAATAAAAATAATTGGTGTATACTTTAGATAATTTGGGTTAATATTCCTAGAACAATGGGAAAATTCAGCAGGAGATTAATTAATATTGATATTAATATGGTCCACGATAAATGTTATTACATGATCTTGTGTCTTATGGGGCCGATAATAATTATGGTTTTAACATATTATACAATTATATTTGATACAACAGAAGTCATAAAAATCACTGCTTTTGGTGTTGTATATTATTTCCCTTGCCTCCTTTTTCTTTTTCCAATTGTCCTGATTTATTTTTCTATAATAATAATAATAATAATAATAATGAGCATGTATAGTTCGTATACAGCCTACTTAGTACTTATTCTATTGCCTATTGACCTATAATCGATGTCTCTATAGTATACCCACTAGTCACTGTCATGTAGTCCTGTAGCATTAATCTGTAGGTAGGTACCCTAGTGCAGTGGCTCCGATTCCTATAATCGGCGCAGGCCATGGCCACCGCCCACCGTAGTTATTAGTCGTTGTGTTAGGCCCAGTGTGTCACACTCATATATTATTATGATAGACACATGGTACCAATTATTGGTATCATAATAAAGTATTGAAGAACGCCACCGATAGCGTTTGAGAATTAAGACACCGCATAACCTGTCCATAAAAAAATTTAAATGTAATAGCTATTAACTAATAAGTAATTGTTTTTATTTCATTCTAATGAATAGGAACATCAATAAAACAATAATTAGAAAAAAAACCTGTGCTCTACTAAGGTGCCCCCCTCCCGGGTTTTACGTCTGAAGAATAGCCCCCGGAGTGATATTTTACGTGCCCGGATTACCTGCAGAGTATTATAGTCGCCTATCTATACTATTCTTTAATATATGGTTAGTTCGTGCCAAATAATAAATCAGCGCAGAGTGATATTGTCATAAATGATGCACAACGATAACGCTTTTTAGTGCCTAAAGTTACGTTTCCAACGGATTTTGCTTTGCCATTTTTGGATACTTAATATAAAATTAAAATAACAGATGATCATAATATAATGATGAGAACGTGTTGAGTCAAAGACTCTATACGGTCATAACCATGGATATTAGTTGGTGTTTTAATAGTATTTATAAATAAAACATTTAAAATATAATAATTAATATTACTTTTATTTATTAGTTTATTACACGATAGATATACGTTTCAAGTATCTTTTTGATTTTTTTTTATATATTAATTTTTTATTTCAAATCTACATTCCGTAAAAGTTTTGGTGACGGCTTAACGTGTCCGTAGTCGTAATTGTGTGGTTTTCAGTTTGGCAGTGAGGACGTCCAACGGTCAGTAACTGATGCACGGCGCTGGAACCTTTCTGAAATTTATGATGGTAATCAGAAGATTGACTAACCCGGCAGCGTAAGCTTTCGCCTGCAGTGTAAGGAACCAAGTGGCTCGTAAATTCGTAAATAAGGCTGGTTTTGAGTGCCGAGAATCGAGGCGTCGCTATTGGTGGAGCCCGGATGTCGGCTAAACTCAGAACACTTGGAACGCGTAACGTACATTACATAATTATAACGGTATTGAGGCAGGTTTTAGAAAGTCATATTTTAGAATGCCGAGTTTTAGAATACCAAGTTTATCCGTTTATCCACTGTTTACCCGTTCTTATATAAAATATTTTCTAATAATTCTTTCTTAAAAAAAAAACAAATATAATAATTGTTAGTACTTAAGATTATTAGCAACAGCTCTCATAAATTTATCTAAATTATAATTAGAATCATTAACTATTCGTTTACATATTTGTAATAAGGTATTATTCCGCGTTTGATTGTACTTTTTTCTTTTGAATACTTGATTTTAAATCAACGATTCGATTGTTGCTTCAGTCTCATGTTGTTCTTTTTGAATTTTGGAGATAAATGAATGTATACCAGGGTGTGTTGGTAATAAACGATGTATTTTGTTGTGCCAACCTTCTGCTGAATTGGATGTTCTTGACATTTCATTAACAGTTCGACTGTGTACTGACCACATTTCAATTGGAAAACATGGTTCGTAACGTTCTTTTTTTCTAAACCTCATTCTAATTTATAGGGGTTTTTAGCATCTATGACATATTTAATGCTAACAGTTTGTAAAGTATTCTAATATTAAAAATCCAATCTGTTGTCATGATAAATCCGATTGAATCCGAGGCACATTGAAGGTTTCCCAACAAATGAATCTTTATTCAGTGTTGTAGTAATAGTGAAAATTGCGTTGTTTATATTGTAGTAAATTCACAGATTTTAAATGTTTTTCAGTTTTGATATGTTGTGTAATTGTTAAATTTGTAAATAATTTACTTATATTTATAACGTCCATACCTAATAAAATATTGCATTATAAATTTATTACCTCGTTCTTCAATTAGTGAGCCATTGACTCTGCATTGCACTAATATATCAGCATGGGGATTTGAAATTACGGTAACGTAGTACCGTAGCCCCGGTATCAATTCATTTAACAGTTGCACAGGGTGGTAGTTATTTAGGTTCATCTGCAACTTCTTCATCGTCTAAAATAAAAGGGATTAGAGTTAGATCTGAAGCTCTGTTGATTATTTTCATGCAAAATTGCGTTGTTTATTCAGTAGTAAATCCACAGTTTTTAAATGTTTTTCAGTTTTGATATGTTGTGTAATTGTTAAATTTGTAAATAATTTACTTATATTTATAACGTCCATACCTACTAAAATATTGCATTATAAATTGATCTGCAACTTCTTCATCGTCTAAAATAAAAGGGATTAGAGTCAGATCTGAAGCTCTGTATGAGGTGATTATTTTCACGCAAAACTGTTTGCAATGATTCAATGAGACCTCTTTTTAAATTTGGAATCATATTTGTTCGAATAGATATTTGATCCGACTCTGACATAAAATATATTTGTAAAAAATTAGAATTATTTCCAATTTCGGGTAAAAAAATACCTATTAAATAATGCACTACGCATACCCCGTACAACTTTTAAATTATTGCTACCAGTGCTACAGTACTGGGTTACTGTTATTTCAAATCCCCGGCTGATATTCTGGTGCGATGCATCAATGGCTCACCAATTATTGAATCGAATACTGTTGAAAAATAATTTTATGTATTTTAATGTATAAGGTAGAATTAATATAATATATTACAAATTAATGAAGTGATTAAACCAAATTATAGAAAATAATCATACCCGTAGAAAGACTCAAGAGCTACCACTGCTATTTTTCTTTGAGCAGCTTTCTTCGTAGATGCTGTAAAATATAAATTAATAGCAAAAGTAACTAATTTTTTTAGAAACAATTTTTAATATGAATTACTCATTAATCCAGCCAATGAATTTTGTTTTATATAGGTTTATTTATATTACGTGAATAATCTTTATTAATTATTTCATTTATATTTACAAGATAGTAATGTTTTTTTTTGTATTTATTTATTATGATAATCTCTACATTTAAGCAATAGACTGATAAATATATTTATTTTTGTTTTAAGTATATTATAGTAAAGTGATTTCATAAAAAATAATAAATCACATTTGTTTACAATAAAAGGAATATTAAAATAAATTAAAAACTAATATTAATAACGGCAATACCTAATAAAATATTGCATTATAAATTTATTACCTCGTTCTTCAATTAGTGAGCCATTAACTCTGCATTGCACTAATATATCAGCATGGGGATTTGAAATTACGGTAACGTAGTACCGTAGCCCCGGTATTAATTCGTTTAACAGTTGCACAGGGTGGTAGTTATTTAGGTTGATCTGCAACTTCTTCATCGTCTAAAATAAAAGGGATTAGAGTTAGATCTGAAGCTCTGTTGATTATTTTCATGCAAAATTGCGTTGTTTATTCAGTAGTAAATTCACAGTTTTTAAATGTTTTTCAGTTTTGATATGTTGTGTAATTGTTAAATTTGTAAATAATTTACTTATATTTATAACGTCCATACCTAATAAAATATTGCATTATAAATTTATTACCTCGTTCTTCAATTAGTGAGCCATTAACTCTGCATTGCACTAATATATCAGCATGGGGATTTGAAATTACGGTAACGTAGTACCGTAGCCCCGGTATTAATTCGTGTAACAGTTGCACAGGGTGGTAGTTATTTAGGTTGATCTGCAACTTCTTCATCGTCTAAAATAAAAGGAATTAGAGTTAGATCTGAAGCTCTGTATGAGTTGATTATTTTCACGCAAAATTGCGTTGTTTATTCTGTAGTAAATTCACAGATTTTAAATGTTTTTCAGTTTTGATATGTTGTGTAATTGTTAAATTTGTAAATAATTTACTTATATTTATAACGTCCATACCTAATAAAATATTGCATTATAAATTTATTACATCGTTCTTCAATTAGTGAGCCATTAACTCTGCATTGCACTAATATATCAGCATGGGGATTTGAAATTACGGTAACGTAGTACCGTAGCCCCGGTATTAATTCGTGTAACAGTTGCACAGGGTGGTAGTTATTTAGGTTGATCTGCAACTTCTTCATCGTCTAAAATAAAAGGGATTAGAGTTAGATCTGAAGCTCTGTATGAGGTGATTATTTTCACGCAAAACTGTTTGACATAAAATATATTTGTAAAAAATTAGCTTTATTTCCAATTTCGGGTAATAAACTACCTATTAAATGATGCACTTGACCCTGAATTTTAAAAGTGGGCATGAAGTTCCCTTCAGCTATTCTTTGAACAATTAAATACAATTTAATATCAATTATGTATTGTACAATAAATTAATGCACACTTTTAGGCGAGGAAGAAGTGACCAACAAACCTCGGTAACTACCACCCTGTACGCATACCCCGTACAACTTTAAAATTACTGCTACCAGTGCTACAGTACTGGGTTAATGTTATTTCAAATCCCCGGCTGATATTCTGGTGCGATGCATCAATGGCTCACCAATTATTGAATCGAATACTGTTGAACAATAATTTTATGTATTTTAATGTATAAGGTAGAATTAATATAATATATTACAAATTAATGAAGTGATTAAACCAAATTATAGTAAATAATCATACCCGTAGAAAGACTCAAGAGCTACCACTGCTATTTTTCTTTGAGCAGCTTTCTTCGTAGATGCTTTAAAATATAAATTAATAGCAAAAGTAACTAATTTTTTTAGAAACAATTTTTAATATGAATTACTCATTAATCCAGCCAATGAATTTTGTTTTATATAGGTTTATTTATATTACGTGAATAATCTTTATTAATTATTTCATTTATATTTACAAGATAGTAATGTTTTTTTTTGTATTTATTTATTATGATAATCTCTACATTTAAGCAATAGACTGATAAATATATTTATTTTTGTTTTAAATATATTATAGTAAAGTGATTTCATAAAAAATAATAAATCACATTTGTTTACAATAAAAGGAATATTAAAATAAATTAAAAACTCATATTAATAACGGCAATACCTAATAAAATATTGCATTATAAATTTATTACCTCGTTCTTCAATTAGTGAGCCATTAACTCTGCATTGCACTAATATATCAGCATGGGGATTTGGAATTACGGTAACGTAGTACCGTAGCCCCGGTATTAACTCGTTTAACAGTTGCACACGGTGGTAGTTATTTATGTTGATCTGCAACTTCTTCATCGTCTAAAATAAAAGGGATTAGAGTTAGATCTGAAGCTCTGTATGAGGAGATTATTTTCACGCAAAAGTGTTTGCAATGATTCAATGAGACCTCTTTTTAAATTTGGAATCATATTTGTTCGAATAGATATTTGATCCTACTCTGACATAAAATATATTTGTAAAAAATTAGCATTATTTCCAATTTCGGGTAATAAACTACCTATTAAATGATGCACTTGACCCTGAATTTTAAAAGTGGGCATGAAGTTCCCTTCAGCTATTCTTTGAACAATTAAATATCAATTATGTATTGTACAATAAATTAATGCACACTTTTAGGCGATGAAGAAGTGACCAACAAACCTCGGTAACTACCACCCTGTACGCATACCCCGTAGTCCGTACAACTTTTAAATTATTGCTACCAGTGCTACAGTACTGGGTAACTGTTATTTCAAATCCCCGGTTGATATTCTGGTGCGATGCATCAATGGCTCACTAAGTGTTGAATCGAATACTGTTGAAAAATAATTTTATGTATTTGAGAGAAGTGCCACCCGTGACCGAGATTCGAGCACTATGCCTTTATTATTATTGTAAGTTATAAGCGATACTTTTTTTTTATTATTAAATTTGCAACAATAATGGCTCATGACATTACTATACAGTTATGAGGTAATACAGTATTACAGTGTATTTTGAAGTAGAAGTTGTCTTATGTTGTTTGTGTTTTTCTCATGGCATCATATGTTTAAATCATCGACATAAAGGCAAAATCACCACCTGAAGCCTTATTATTTTTGAGGCCGTTAACTGACACATCAATCTCGTTTTGAGTAGGTTCCTCAATTTTTGGCTCCACTGTGTGATAATTTATTCCATCATTTTCATTTTTATGAACATCCAGATGGAGTCAATTATTTGTCTATGTTTTCTGATTGATTTTTTAGTTGTTTGTATATTTTCTTGTATACTTTTAACAAATCTCTTCTGAATTTCAAGATCAAATAATATTTGTATATTGTACTTCTCTCCAGTTCATTTATTCACCATATTCCATTCTGTAGAGAGCCTGAGATTAAATTGTTCAAATAATTAGTAGGTAGTTTTCCAAATCAACATCTGCTCCCCTGTTAAGTTTCACTTTTCTGATACAATAAGAGTGTCTTTTACTTATCATTATGTGATCTATCTGATTTATGATTATGTACTAGACCGTTCGGAGGGACCCTTGTGTATTTATGTATATTCTTTCTTGGTACCTAAGTAAGTGCTACTCATTGTCAGTTCTTGTGATGTAGCAAGAATATTAGTTTTGTATTATTGTCATTGCTTGTATCACACGAACTACAATGTGTCTGTACATTTTTTCTTTGTAAACTTTTGCATTAAAATCACCAACTATCATTTTTAAACAGTTCGTGG